GCTAAGTTGCCTAGAGCCTCACTAAGTTGCTGAGGCTGGCTTTGAACTCGCAATCATCCTGCCTCAGCCTCCTGAGTTGCTGGGATTACAGGTGAGTGTGCTGCACCTGGCTGCTCCATCTTTTTTTGTTTTATTGTGATAATTAACTCTTATGTTAGTTCTCCTTTATTTTCCTCGTATATTTATTTTTGTGTAATCTTCTAAACTCTTGTTGATTTCTATTTCATTTTTGCCCACTTTCTTGGTCTTGTCGTGTAAGTCTCTTACTGAGTTGTTGTTGGTATCTCTTCTGCCTTGAGCTATTTACAGCTTTCTTTGATGCATTGGTTTTAGAGGCCTACACTTTTAGCTCAAGACCTTTTGCTTCCAACTGGAGTCCTTGCCAGTAAATAGCTATGCTGTAAAAAGAAATCTTCTAAAGGGACAGATGCCTTTCATCATTCGTTGAGTGTTTGGTCATGTTTCTTCATTGTATTTCAGATAATCAAAATTCCCCTTTGAATTTTTTCTTTTTTCCTCTCTTATCTACTCATCTAAGTTCCTTATGTAGTCATTCTTATAATTTGAATGTGTATTTTTTTAAAAAAATATTTATTTTTTTAGTTGTAGTTGGATACAATACCTTTATTTATTTATTTTTATGTGATGCTGAGGATCAAACCCAGGGCCCTGCATTTGCTAGGCGAGCACTCTACCGCTGAGCCACAGTCCCAGCCCGAACATGTATTCTTATGGATGTTTTAGATTTGTAGTTTTAAAAATAAATATTTTGGAAATTTTTGGTTCTTTTATGTAGAAGGAAGATTATGGAATTGTCTCTTTGCCCACAAAGCAGATTGAGTATTCTTCCCAGAAGGAAGAATTATGACTATGTCCTATACAATGGCTTATCAGGCTTGTGATACTTTTTATCAGTTGAAGGGAAATATGCAAAACTGAGGAAAATACAAGTTTGAATAGTCTTTATTATTTTTTTTCTTCTGAGGGTTTTACTGGTCCCTCTATAACCTGAAGAGAAAGCCATGCTCACAGCCAAAGTATGACACCCAGGGTTTTTATTGTCTTTGCAGTCTTGTCTTCACAGGAGTGAAGACAACCCATGTCTGTGCAGAATAACCATAAACCCCATGCTTCCTGTGTCATGGGTCCAGGGGTAGGAGGTGACAGATTCACGGTTGGTACATTCAACAGCCTGGTAGGCCTTTCCTTTAGGGTCTGTCAGGATAGCTGCACCCCAACAAGCAATGCTGATGCAGATGACCATGTGCTGGGTGTAGCCCAGCTTCAGGGTGTCCACGCCACCAAGTACACGGAAAGGCCTGCGGCCCCGAGAGAACCAGGCAACTCCAGCAGTTATTAAACAAGGGAGCTTCTGATGGGAAGTTGGGCTCTCTGGATGCACCTGGGGATGTGGAGTTGGCTGGGGGAGGTGACCTTCCTAGGCTGCAGAAGCTGGGACAATGAAGAACCCATGTTCTGGAACTTGGACCAGCCCTAACAAAACTTCGGTTCTTGAATGGTCTTTAGATGTGTGCTTTTAAAATGTTTATATAGAGTCAAAGATTTGAAGAGCACTTCTGACCATGTCCAGGTCTCACTGTATCCATTTGGCTCTTAGGAAGTGGTTAGGGATTCTAGGCATGTTTTTAGTTAGGTTTTTGTTGCTGTGACCAAAATACTGACAAGAGCAACTTACAGGAGGACACGTTTATTTGGGGCTCACTGATTCAGAGGTCTCGGTCCATAGACAGCGGAATCCCTTCCTTGGGGCTCCAGTTGAAGCAGCACGTCATGGGGGAGTGCCCAGTGGAGGAAAGCTGCTCAGTTCCTGGCTGGGCCAGGAAGGGGGGTGGGAGAGGGAACCCAGTGAAGGGGGCCCAGGGAAGATGCACCCTCTGGGGTGTGCCCTCGGTGACCGACCTCCTCCAGCCACACCCCTCCTGCCTACAGTTACCACCCTGTCAGTCCATTCAAATGAGGAATGGACTAAAGGAAAGGTCACACTTCTAATCCAGTTACTTCACCTCTGAACATTCCTTCATTGACACAGGAGCTTTTGAGGGACACCTCACATCCAAATCATAACAAGGCATCACTTTGGATGTTTTAGGGTGACATGGCTCAAAGAAATTATGACCACAGGGCTTAAGAAGTTGAGCAGTGACAGACTGTGTCCACATAATTTCTTGCCATTAAGCTTATTTCCCCAGACATTGTGCGATCCGTATACGTATGGGGGTCTCTGTTCGTGACAAATGGGAAAAGAAGGGCCATTCTTCTCAGAAACAACTGAATCTTAGATTCTCAGGCCTGTGGAAAACTTTTTACCCCTCATTGTGTTTTGTCAAGTTTATCTTATTCAGCTTGACCAGAAGCAGTAGAGGTATCAGTGTGTGCCGTTGTTGATATCTTATTCTATGCCAAATGCTTGCTAAGTGCCTGTATGTACCCATATAATTTTTTATTAAAATGGTTACATGAGTTATTATTATTTCCATTTTAATAATAAGAAAACAGACTTGAAGTTAGGTTACATGACAGTTAAATGGTAGAGTCAGTTTCAATCCAGGATTCCCAGGCCCCAAAGGACAGGCCCTGAACAGCTGTATTGTCTCTATATACCAAAGGGGCATACTGCAGACTGATAAAAGAAAAAGCTTCTATCATGTAAATACAATTTATTAAAAAAAAAATAACTCATCTAAAGAAGTACACATTGTATCTCTGCTAATACTAAATAAGACACCTCCACTGCAAAGGAGAAATTTTCATTAACACCATTTAATACAGGTTAGCTGTGTTTGAATAATTAAAACAGACTTTCCCATCCTGCTTGTACCCTCCATAGAATCTGGAGAATTAGATTGTGGATTGAGAAGGGCTGGGAGAGTAAATGCCGTTTTTCCACGAATAATTCCACATATGGTTAAGTGGGTTTTGCTTGAGCTTCCTTTTCCTAATGGGGAAAACATTCAGTTCTTAAATGTCAAAATGGGAATCTTTAACCCAAATAAAGAGATGGGAACTGTAATGAACAGTATAGAATTGTTTAAAATGGTAGTTTGTCTTCATAATAGCTGCTATTCTGACTGGAGTGAAATGATATCTTAGAGTAGTTTTGATTTGCATTTCTCTAATTGCTAGAGGTGATGAACATTTTTTCATATATTTGTTAATTGATTGTATATCATCTTCTGAGAAGTGTCTGTTCAGGTCCTTGGTGTTGGCGAGGATGTGGGGAAAAAGGCACACTCATACATTGCTGGTGGAACTGCAAATTGGTACAGCCAATATGGAAAGTAGTAGAGAGATTCATTGGAAATCTGGGAATGGAACCACCATTTGACCCAACTATCCCTCTCCTCAGTCTATACCTAAAGGACTTAAAATCAGCACACTACAGGGACACAGCCACATCAATGTTTATAGCAGCATAATTCACAATAGCTAAACTGTGGAGCCAACCTAGATGCCCCTCAGTAGATGAATGGATAAAAAAAATGTGGCATAAATACACAATGGAATATTACTCATCAATAAAAGAGAATAAAATCATGGCATTTGCAGGTAAATAAATGGATGACATTGGAGAAGATAATGCTAAGTGAAGTTAGCCAATCCCCCAAAAAATAAATGCTGAATGTTTTCGGAGGTTGACATAAGGAGGTTGACTCATAGTGGGGTAGGGAGGAGGAGCATGGGAGGAATAGACGAACTCTAGATAGAGCAGAGAGGTGGGAGGGAAAGGGAGGAGGCAGGGGGTTAGCAAGGATGGTGGAATGTGACAGACATCACTATCCAAAGTACAAGTATGAAGACATGAATTGGTGTCAACATACTTTATATATAACCAGAGATATAAAAAATTGGGCTGTATATGTGTAATAAGAATTGTAATACATTCCACTGTCATTTATTTTTTTTAAAAATCAATTAAAAAAAAGAATTGTTTAAAATGGTATCAAACATACTTTTCCACTGTTAATTAGGAAATGTGCTCTTATGTCATTTGGTGATCCAAAAAACATTGCCCAACCAACAACATATTGATTTTTCTGGATGGGGTAATGAAGTTAAATATTTATTTATGTGGGTGTAATGGGCACTGCCCTGTGAATTCCACTCTAACTTTGTAATTAATGTGCCATTGCCTTAACCTGACCAAGTATTTCTGCTTTCTGCACACAAGAGACAGACTTCTGCTATTGTTTGCAATTACTCTCATAAAAATTTGAAAGCGAGAAGTTTGTCTTCTGCTTCATGTTTCCATGTTTCTGTGGTAAGACGACAGAACCCCATAGGTTCAGACTTTGGCCTGTGGCTGGTTTTTAGTCCTCTGCTCATTTCCAGCTTGTCTTGTGTCCTGAGGCAGATGCACTGATACCTCAGAGCAACAGGGCCGGGCAGTAGCAAGAAGACCCAGAGCAGGCAAGCTGTTCTTTTCTCTTTTGCTCTAGAATGCAGTGAAAAATAGCCCTTCTTCATTCCTCCCACCTGAGAGATGGGGTGAGGAAGTAGTTCAGGTCTGCCAGTGCTTTTGTTCAAGTCACACTCAGAAGACCTTCTTCCGTCATCTCGTGGTTGATGCCTTAGCAACCCGTTTGTCACTAAAACAAACGGCCCAGAGCTGCAAACAAAGTGACTCCTAAGAGTTGGGGCCAGGTAGTGAAACCCAGCGCACTGAGTTGGGGAAATTATTCCTGTGCTATTTTGGAGAGTCTTGTCCTGAGGACAATTAAACAGTCCAGACAGGTCACTGGGTGAGACCAATTTCCTGGTTTGTTTATTTGAGCCTGATTGTTTTCACCACTGAGCAGCCGGACACAATCTGCCACACCGTTACCCCAGGCCTGCAGAGAGCGATCCTTTCATTTTTGATTTCTCCAGGCTTCCTACGGATTCTAGCGTGTCTTTATCTGGTGGGGTTGCTCTGGAGTCTCTCAGGCACAGACAGGGTGGAGGCCAATATCAGTGATTGCTCTTGACTTCATCTTATACAGGCATTTGGCTTTATGTCCCGAGTCGCCCTACAAGCAGAGAAGATGAATCATCACCCTGAGTGGCTCAATGTGTACAACAAGGTAAACGGATCACCTTATTTTGGGATCAATTTTAATTATGGAGTTCGAGAAACTTCTTTCTTCTTTTCTTCCTTGTCATCTTGTGCAACTAAATGTGCTTGTGCTTAAGAAAATATTTTCTGATTCTTTCTCTTAGAATCCCTGTGTATTATTGCAAATTAGTGACAAATTTCAGATCTGCTCATGAGAACAGTGAATAAGCTCTTTATTTTCATGTTTGTCTTCTACTGAAACTTTTAATAAAAAGAAAGTTGGGCCTAATTAGGTTCCTGAATTAAACTTGAATATCAGCCACGCAGGTAAACTTTTAAATTGAAAATAATTTATTGAAAGAAAGGGTTGCAAATAAGATAGATATGTCCTAATTATCTTATTGAAATAGATTTTCTCAGGAATTATATTTTATAAAAATAACTATTTATTGAATTCTGGATCCTCAAAATTTACAAAGTTTTAGAGACTACAGTGAGAAGAATCATGTTCCCCCCCAAAAGTGTCCTTGTCTTTATGGTCACACCATTTGAAATATCTTACCATCCAGGTTTTGTGAGGGTTTATTTTCTCTCTGGAAGTCCTCTTTGAAAAAAGAAACATCACCATTCTTGATTATATATATATATATTTTTTGAATAATTCAAAGCACCCCCATACTAGCATCAGCTTTTCTTTCCTAGTTGCCTTTCTTTGCCCATAATTTTATTTTTGCTTTTTAACCAATTTGTCAAGAGGTAGCGTTCCCAACACATACCCCTTCCCTAATTTGGAAATGTGCTTTTTTTAACATCACTGCTAAGATATTACATTTGATAGCTTGGCTTTTCTCAGTGGCCCCCAAATAGTTGGTGTAATTAAAGTAATGGGAGTTAAAATGGAACCCCAGTCTCTCTTTTTTTTCTCAAGAAACGAGATTTGAGATCCTGGCAGCTAAATTTCCTCCTCGTATGAGACAACCTTTTTATCCTGGGTGGCTGCCGGGCCCCCTCTGATGAAGACTGTGGTCCTGGAGTTTGCTGGGTTTTGCTGTGTTTATTGTTCATAATGTATTTTCTAAAGCATTTGATCCCCCTGATTCTCAAATATGAATGTTGGATAATAGATTGATTTCTGAACCACCCAAGGAGAATTCCATGAATTGTAGCTCAGGGTTTTAAAAGCTGCTTTCTTCTTTCTTAGGTCCAGATAACCCTCACCTCTCATGACTCTGGCGGACTGACCAAAAGAGATGTGAGACTGGCCAAGTTTATTGAGAAAGTGGCTGCTTCTGTGTGATTTCTTCAAAATGCATGCATAATCTTATATACTTCTGCAGTATATCTTGAAGGCAATTTACATGAACAAAAATCAAGTTTTAAAGGAGTTCATCCTTCTACATTTTGTATAATCAGTGTGTAAATACAAGATGACCTAAACCTGAGCCTAAGGTGTTTTTTATTACATGTATTCACAGGCATAAGATAACTCAACCTAGCAATTACATTAATAATATTTAAAGAGAGAAATGGATTCTTAAAAACTAGAACTTAGGAAAGGGAATAATCACGTATTTCATAACCCAGAAATTCAAAATCATGACTTTATAAAAGCATTGTGTTGAAGAATAGTTGTAAGGGACAGGAATTAGGCACTTTGCAGGGAATGGGTTTTAATTTTACGTAACAAATTGTAGGAAGCTAAAGTCGATTTGGATTTTGGTGCTTGCTACTACTTAAGTAATTGATTAGATCATGAAAGTCACAAAAATGAGCTGTCTTGGTGTGTCTTACCTTTCAGACAGGGAGTTAGAGGATGAGGGTCTCATTCGTGGCTTCCTGCAAGATGTGGCAACACAAGGACTCTCTGTCACAGTGATCGCTTACCAGGCCATTATTGGACTTACAGGGTTAAGGAGGAACTGAGGGTCATTTCTTTGCATCATTTGTATGTTGTGACCCCTGAACTGAGGGTCTGCAGTCTTGGGATCTTGAGATTTAACAAGGATCATCTTTGTAAGACACCTCACTTCAGAGGCCAGAAACAGCATTCCGTTATAACAGGCAAACCTTCCCCTCCTCAGCCCAGCCCCTGCTCCAGCAGGACCGGGAGGCTGCGTTCTCCTTGAAGTCCGTGCTTGGCTGGTTCTGTTAGCCAAGGAAAGACAGCTTTGGTCAGTTGGCCCTGTGGGCATGGAATGTGCAGGGAGGGGAAGGGAGTGGAGAGCCACAGGCTCTATGGCCCCCAGGGGAGCAAAAGCCTTCATACTACGACTTCTGTTTCCTAGAATTTTTCAAAGGAAAAGGCAAAGCTATGTGTTTTTTATAATCTCTTCCCTACATTATAGATTTGGAACTTTTATACGTTTTATTACCAAATATTTTTAGTTCATTGCTTCAATTTTTACGTGAGCCTTTTTAAAAACAATTTTTAAATTTTGTTTACTCTTATTAGTTATATATGACAGCAGAATGCAGTTCAATTCATATTACACAAATAGAGCACAATTTTTTATGTCTCTGGTTGAACACAAAGTAGAGTTACACCATTTGTGTTTTCATATATGTACTTAGGGTGATGACATCCGTCTCATTCCACCATCTTTCACATGAGATTTTTAAACATGAAAAATTTTAAACATATGCAAAAGTAGAGTGAATAGTACATTGAACCCTTATGTATGGATCACCCACATGTAGCAGTTACCAAGATTATGCCCAGTTCCTTCATATAATCCCATTTCTGTTGATAAACTATTTAAAAACAAATACCAGATAGCATGTCATTACTCTTCTGTGTCCTTCAGTAAGCATTTCTAGGAAAATATTATCATCTTACATAAAACAACAATGCCATTGTCACATATAACTATATAAGCCATGATTCCCTGGTACCACCGAATACCCAGGCCAAACCAAATTGCTCTGAGGTCAATAAAGTGTTTGGACAGTATTTTGGTTCTAGTTAGGATCCACATGAAGTCTACCCATCACATCTGGTGGCTGTGTCTTTATTCTCTCTGAGCCTAGAGCAACCACCCCTCTTCTCTCCCCAACCCTTTCTCCATGTATTTGATTTATCAAAACTGGGTCAATTGTCTGGTAGAATATTTGCCTCTGACTTTGGTGTCATTTAACTTGTTCCACTGCACCACCAATGTAAGCCTCTCCTCCTATTTTGAATGTATCTGAGGCTAGATGGATGGCTGCGTTAACATATGCCACATAGAGCACAGTGGGGAAAGCAGGCTATAGCTCCTAATTACAAAGACCTGGAGCAGAGTTACCGGTCAGCATCCACGTGAGGGTTTGACATAAGGTCCATGTTAAGGGGATTGCATCTGCTGGAACTCAAAAACAGTTCAGAATCAAAGATCCTGTATCAGAAGTCAGTAGAGATACTCAGGGTACCAAATTCCAGCAGATGAATCCCCAGACTTACTTCAAGTAACTGACTTCGCAACTTGAAAGAGACTTTGCCAAAGTTGAAGGCCCCCAAATCCTTGTGTGCTGACAGTGGTTTCTCTGATGTGGTAAGCTTTGGTTTCCCTCTGTTTTCTCTCTAAGTGATCACCAGAGGAGAGAGGAGTTAAACAGACACAGTCTACTCCTTGAGTGACTTCCATGTAACAAACCAGGGCCAGCACGTTTGACTTTGTCCTTTTCTAAAATAAAGTTAATGAAAGTTTGGGAAATAATGGCTACTTTCTGTCATTGATATGATTTAAGAAATCTGGAAATAAATAAAATAAGCATGGTTCTTTGTATTTTCACTATAGGCAGAAAGCAGCTGCCTGTATATTATATTTGAAATAAGCCCGACTTCTATCAATGTATTGAATAATTGTCTACAGTATTAGTATGGAACAGTCTGAATACTTTCTAATTCACACTCAAAAATGTAATAGTTGAACTTTCAGTTTTGTAAACTTTCCTGTGAAACTTTCCATCTCAGTAATAGGTTTGGCTGTTATCATATGTGAACTTTGTATTTCAGCGCCAATTTCTTGGGACCACGATTGAAGGGTCCCCAGGCTGCTGTGCCTGCTGAGGCAGCCCAGGTAGGGCTGCCCAGGCCCCGCAGAGTGAGCTGCTGCTGATAGGGTGGGAGAGGTGGCACTTGGGCTTCTCATCCGAGAATGCCTGTCCTGTCCACCTGCGTGTGGGAAGATCTGGATTTCAGGAGGCCCTGGATGAGCTCACCACCTCCGAGTTCCTGTTGCGCTCCCCTCTCCCAGCTGGAGTTCCGTTCCCAGACTGTCTTCATCAGTGGCTTCCGAAACCGCATTCAGCTGTGATGGACCGCGCTGATGTGGTTCACTAGGAACAACTGGGCTCTTTCTCCTGCCTGCAGCTGGCTGTCTCTCCTCACCACCGCACCCAGCATTACATTTTTAATCTCCTTTCTGTTTTTTCCCAGAGGAAGTCCCAGAAGTGTCCCTCTGGGGTCCTTGCAGATGTACTTCCACTGTGCCACACTAACTGAGTGATGCTACTCAGTTCAGTACCCTGTTCATCTAGCTTGTGTGCTGCAGGGGATGAGGGCGGGTTAACATCTTGGGGCAAATGGAGATGCAGAGCTGACTCAGCCCTTCTGAGCAACTGCTGCAGAAGGCCACTGTGGCATTAGGGGGACACATGACCAAAGAAAGCAATAGGAGTCATAGGAAGAACTGGTCTCTTTCTCTCTGAGGGAGAAGGGGTAGACTCAGGGTGCAGCTAAAGTTTGAATCTTAGGTAATCTTGGTAATCAAGCTGATTAAAATTGGCTGTGATGATTTGTTTTTCATTAACAGATAATAACTATATCTTAATGGGGTACAGTGTGATGTTTTGGTACCTTTATACATTTTATATTGATCAACTCAGGATGCTTAGGTTCCCCATCATCTCAAACATCTATCATTATTTTATGTTGAGAATGTTAAAAATCTTTTGTTTTGGATTTTATGATACAGTACTGTTAACTGTAATCACCCTCTGTGTAATAATTCACCGGAACTTTTTCATCCTGTCTGGCTAGGAGTAAATAAGATGTTGTCACCCAGTTCAGTATATTTTCCTACCAGGAATGGAAATATGCACTTATTTTAAAATACCAAGGACAGCAGAGATGGTGGGGTGATTACCTCGTTTTTTAATGGTCCAAGAATTTAGGTTTCGAGGAAACTGACCAATTTAGCCCTTAAACATTTAATACAACATACAGCTAAGCAGATCTGTCTTGATTTGCTTTGAAGGCTAAAGGGGCTGGGGGAGGCTATATTAATCCTGAGAGTTGAACAGAACAAAAATCCTGATATAGTAGACCATCCCTTACACCCTGTTTAGGTGTTTCATACACACATATATCCCATGCCCCAAATGAGCCAACATAGGGCCTATGTTACCTTCTCTGCCCCACTAATTCTTTTGTCCTAGTCCCAAATGGATCACAATCTTTCCTTCCAGATGTTTCCATTGCTGGCCCTGATGCGTTCTCTCACAGAATCATAGAGAACTTTGCTTTTTTTTTCTTTCTTACATGACCCTCAACTTTTTCTAACACATCATTAAGGGTCTAACAGATGGGACACTTCTTGAAGTGGGAACCTTTGCCCTATCTCTAGTGTTGCCCAGCATTCGCCCGAGCTTTACCGTTGCTGGGTGCATGTGAAGCCCCTTGCTCAACTGAAGCACTGTTTCCTTGAGAAGAAGGATCCTGGGACAGGCTTGCTGGGAGCGCCCCACCCAGTGGTCTGTAGGCTAGTGATGCGCTGGAATGCCTGAGAGTGATCTCATAAAGCCAAGATTCCCTCATGGACCCTTTTCTGCTGCCTCTTGGAATCCAGACACCAAGGGGATCTCTAAGTAGAGATTTTTTTGATTAGCTATAAAAGCAAGGAATAAAAAATTGAAAATTTAAAAAATGTCTCAGGCCATTTACGAAGATGTGCCACCAAAGTCTACTTCCAGTTCGCTGTTTGGTGCTGCATCACAGGCGTTCTGTGGGAGATGCAGGAAATTTAAGTAAATATTTCTATTTCCGTTGTTAAGAAGCGTGTAAAGGGCAGGGTGCAGGCGGGTGTCAGCTTTCTAGCCTCTTCCACACGCTTGTGGGCTTCCCAGGTGGAGGGCACCTCTGACCGTCGGTTTCCCTAGTTGGTGAGGCTGGCTTCCCTAGTTGGTGAGGCTGGCACACTGTTACTGACCTGCAGACTGCAGACTCAGTGTTATCTTTTCCTGTTAAATAATTTGAAGTCTTTTAAAATTTTGTAATAGACTATTTCAAGCCAGAAAATGAAAATTACACATCTTGTTTTTATAAATCACAGAGGTATATATGATATTCATACACACAGCACACTTTTTTTTATATTTTAATATTTATTTTTTAGTTTTTGGCAGACACAACATCTTTGTTTGTATGTGGTACTGAGGATCGAACCCGGGCCGCATGCATGCCAGGCGAGCGCGCTACCGCTTGAGCCACATCCCCAGCCCACACTTTTTTTTTTTTTTTTAAAGACATGATCTTGCTATGTTGCCCAGGGGTGGTCTTCAACTTGTGAACTCAAGTGACCCTCCTGCCTCAGCCTCCCAAGTAGATGGAACTATAGATAACAGCCATTTTGCTTGGTTACATTCTGTATTTTTTTTCACCTTAATGAAAATGAGAAAAAAAAAAAAACTAATCTTTGAGAAAATTTGCAAGGCACAGATAAATGTAAATGAATAATAAGAAGAATGACTTATAACTTCACCACTATTCACACTTTGGCATATTTCCTGCTGAGTGTTTTCTACCCATTTTATATCCTGCTTTTTAAAAATTTTTATTATTGTTTCAAGGTTTACCAGAGAATGAACATTTTTCTAATGTTTCTAAATCATGAAAAAATGCATAGCAAGGGCTGGGGTCGTGGCTCAGTAGTAGAACACTTGCTTAGCATGTGTGAGGCACTGAGTTAGAATCTCAGCACCACATATCAATAAATAAAATAAAGGTCCATCAACAATTTTAAAAAGTATTTTAAAAAATACATAGCCATATTTTAAGTTCTATGTTTCATGAAATGGAGATGCCAGAGTTTACTTAACCACTCCTTTTTGTTAGATTTTAAAATTGTTTTCAGTTTCTCACTACTATAAATAATACAGGAGTAAATATCTTTGGCTAAAGTCACTTCCTGCATTTTACATTGTTCTTTTGGAATAGATTCCACAGGTGAGAGGATAGGAACAGTTCTGGGCTCTTTAGAAAAGCTGTCAACTTAGCTGGGCATGGTGGTGCATGCTTGTAATCCTAGCAACTCTGGGAGATTAAGTCAGGAAGATCACAGGTTCAAGGTCAATTTGGGCAATTTAGGAAGACTCTCCCTGTCTTCCTAAAAGCCGGTCAACTTAGATTTCCCTGGAGGCTTATGAGACTACCCCATCATACTCCACTTTTGACAGCATTAAATACTATTATGCTTATTTTTTATTTATTTTATTTTTATGTGGTGCTGAGGATCAAACCCAGTGCCTCACATGTGCTAGGCAAGGGCTCTGCCACTGAGCCACAACCCCAGCCCACTATCATGTTCAAGTCTTTGCTAATTTTATAAGCAAAAGTGATTTTTTTTAAAGACTCCCTGACATTTGGGGCTTATTTCGGCCACTTGTTTTTCTTTCATAAGTTGTGTGCCCATTTTTCTCTTAGGGTGTTCAATTTTTTTTTTATCATTGATTTGTAAGCAAAAGATGATGATTTGATTGTTATCAGTTTTTTCTATCAGACTGATAGTATTTAAATTTTTCACATTGTATTTCTAGTACTTTCTGTGTTGCTTGGCATGTAATAATCAATAAAAATTTGTCGAATGAATAAATGAAGGCTATTGCTTTCGAAGGAGTGACTGTTCTTTTTTAGAGGTTCGCTAAGAGGCGGACAGACCATTGATGATGATCACATATATTTCAATTGTCATTCATTCAGTATTAATTGCTATTTGAAAGTGTATGTGGATTTATATTCACAAAAGGGGAAAAGCAGACCCTGATCCCTACAAAAAGGTGTGCATTGTAACTCTGCTGTGTAACCATACCTCTTATTCACCTTTTTGATAGGAGGAAAGACCGTCAATGTCAGGCATTTGTGAGGAGAGTCATAACGAGTCATCTCTTTCAGATAATTATGATTAGCACCGTCTCTTTGAATGCCTTTCTTACAGTCTTGTGGACCAGTTATAAAATAAGATACCGCTTGTACAGAGTTTTTGAGGTAAGCTGAAAAAAGGGGTCCATTTTCTTCTATTTTACCTGTTTTATTTCTGGAAATGTTCTAAAATCCTGAAGCTATTTTATTTCAAAAAATTTTCCACAGAAAAATTCTAAGGATCTTTAGAATATACCCTAAAACCTAGGCAGATGGTAACAGGAGTGGCAGTGAGACATGGATTTTAAAGTTTCCTAAATTCTTTTTAAAATAGCCACTAGAGAGCAAAACTAAAAACCCATGGGAAAAATTTACAGCAAAGCTAGTTACTGAGAGCAGCCAGGCGCGGTGGCGAAGCCTATAATCCCAGTGGTTCTGGAGGCTGAGGCAGGAGGATCATGAGTTCAAAGCCAACCTCAGCAACAGTGAGGTGCTGAGCAACTCCGTGAGACCTTGTCTCTAAACAAAATACAAAATAGGGCTGGGAATGTGGCTCAGTGGCCGAGTGCCCCTGAGTTTAATCCCTGGTGTACCCCCTCAAAAAAAAAACAAAAAAACAAAAAACAAAAAACCTAGGAGCCACTAAGAACATGTCATTAGCTTCTGTGGGGGAAGAGGCAGAGGGGAACTGGTAGGTATTCCCTGGAATGTGTGGTGGGCTGATGTGAGAACAGCTTTTGGGAATAGGGTTGCCTAATACAATACTGGGGGAGTGCAGAAGGATCCAGATAATTTCTGAAGGAGCTGGGGCAGTCCAGACCCAATGAACCAACCCTGCAAGTCTCCCTTCAAAGGTAGGGCTGCACATTTAGGAGAAATACTGGAAGTGGAATAAAAATGAGAAAATTAGAGACAGCTGAAGAAAGAGATGTGAACAGAATTAGGAAACCTCAAAAATCCAACTACCACATTTTAAAACATGACCTAAAAGCAGAAGAGAGCTCAGTGAAGTTAGAACCACACTTTCTTCTAAAAGTGCAGGAAAACTAATTGGACATTAAAAAAAAGCACACTATAAAAGGATTGAAGGAAAACAGCCTACAAAATTTTTATAAGAAAAAAAAGTGGAGAATCACATTTCTATGATTAAAGCAAGTCTACTGCAAAGGTATGCCCACAAACGGATAAAAATTATAGTGTATGATTTTAAAACAGGGTAAATGTTTAAGAAACTGATCAAGTTAGGAAAAGAACAGAAGTGAAGTGACAAAACTCAAGAAAGAATTAGAAAGCCAAGAAAAATAAAAAATGAAGACTAATTAAGGGCAATTACATACAATAGACAATTGCTTAAGAGAAATACATGATTAAGTAGAGGAAGTTTTTTTTAAAAAAAAACAAAAAACAAGAAATGAACAGATGGAAAAAATTCAGGAGAAAACAATGAACAATGACAATGGGAAAAAATTCAATATAAAGATAATAGGAAGGCTGGGGTCATAGCTCAGAGCGCTTTCCTAGCATGTGTGAGGCACTGGGTTTGATTTTCGGCACTGCATATAAATAAAATAAAGGTCCATTGGAAACTAAAGAAAAAAAGATAGTAGGAGCCCCTGAATTTCAGAATAAATGCTAAAATCTATCATGCCCCCCCATTACCTTAATAAAAGACCTCAATTTATATGTTGAAAGAGCACACGTCACATACCTGAGAATATGGATTTAGAACAAGCACCAAAATACATCTAATAGAATTTTGGAACTATACAGATAAAAAGAGTAGAGGAAACTGTAACCAGCTAGGAAATGTGGCTTCTAAGGAGAAGAAAATTAATTATCATCAGACTTCACTGTGGTAATACTTCAGGCCAGAAGATAATGGAGATAATTTAAGATTCTTCAGCAAAGAAAATGTGAACCAAGTTTTTTAGATCAGCAAAACTGACTTTCAAGTACCAAGGGCACAAACTGTCACATTCAAAAACTTGGAGAATGTTCTTTCCAGGAGCCCTTAATTAGGCGTCTACTACAGAATAAGTTGAGCCAACCAAAACAACTTTATACTTCTGATGATAGCATTAAATATATAGTTATTTGTAAAACCAATTAATTGTGGTTTAACAGGGAAGGAATATTGCATATAATGAATATATTACCTGACAACAAATATATAGTATGACCATAAAAATGGGAGCCATTGGGGAGAGCAAGTGCAAAAAAATTTTAAACCATTTCCAGTAATCAACTTGGTGATACTATGAGTAGTAGTAATCTGAGACTGATGAGCACAGGGGTAATTATGGGATGGTATCTTTCATTGTCTATGTTCTTGAGAACCAGGATGTTAATGGAAGAAAGGAGATAAAGATGTGTAGATGAACGTTAAATAAACTTGTACATTTGGATTGGAAGTATCATCCTAAACTACTGAGGTATTTATTTTATCCTCTGAATGACTTCAAACATTGATCAACTTAGCAATTATGCATTTTTTGTGCCCATAATGTGATATTGAAATATCATTTCTCACTAAAAGAAACCAGAGTTTCTTAGAGAAAGAAGAAATGCATCAAACAATCTATGAGGTTATAATGATACACAACATAACTGGCCATTTTGGGTATTTAAAAAGAGCTAATCCTTGATCTTTTTCTTTCCCTTTAGTACTGGGGATTGAACTCAGGGGCACTTTACCACTGAGCTATATCCCCAGCCCTTTTTATTTTTTATTTTTGAGACAGGGTCTTGCTAAATTGCTGAGGCTGGCCTCAAATTGTGATCCTTCTGTGTCAGCCTCCTGAGTTACTGGGATTACGGGTGTGCACCTCCACATCTGGCCAATTCTTTATCTTGAAACCTAGCAAATTAAGGGAAAGTATCAAGATTTACTAACCTCTCTTAGATGAACTGTGACCCTGAGGGGGTCACCTACTATGTGACTATTCACTCTTATAGTTAATATCTTTATAAAGTGTCCCAGTTAATAAATGAAAAAGAAATGATAGAAAAAAATCACAATTTTTTCATTATAGTAATGGATCTAGGCATTCAGCATTAATGGTTGCTGCCATAATAAAAAAAAGAGATAGCTAGATGTTATATGCCTTCCGTGAAGGAATAGCACCTATAACTTTGCCAGAGATCCAACCTGAGTCTGATCAAGCTGATCAATTTGGAAAATATCTTCTTATTTTTAGGAAATTTGGAAAATAGAGGAACATGCAGAGTGGCACCATAAGTGTGCAGTCAGCAAATTCCAGACTGAAATGTTCTAAGAGTTAAACTAGTTGGATACTTTAACAGATAAATTGTAAGAAGAAACAAAGGAATGGGAGATTTAAAAAAAGATAAACCAAAGTTTAAAAAATTATAAAAGGCAAGACTAAATTATAGGTTCTTGGGAGGTATATCTGGGTTTCTATCCATAACGGAATGCAAGGAAATAATTATAATTAAAAAATCCAGATAATAGTTAATTTTGTAGGTAGGGAAGGAGTTGTGATTGAGAGGGGCAATGGAGAGGCCTGGGATAGCTGTCTAAGCTCTACTTCTTGACGTGGTGGTAGTGATAGGAGTGTTGGCCCTGTCATAATTCATTAGGCTAATTCATGTGGTTCTATGTGTATTTTATTTTATAGTAAAATGTTAAAATATACTTTATTCAGGGTAAAACTCACATTTATTTCTTACTGGTAAAAATGGTTAGCATCAACATAATGTACTATCAGAGGTGGTGGAGGTGAGTGGCCTACTTGAAATTCACAGGATCCACTTGGGGACACTCCTGTGAATGTGCTGGTTTGGTAGCAAATTCCACACCGCCATTCCACAGAGTGTGATCATGGACGGTGGGAGGTCATGTTAGGTACAAGACTGGTAGGGAAAGAGATCTGTTGAGGAATCTAAATCCTGATTGTCCTCCAGAGACTATAAGGTACCAAGTATGTGTCCTTTGGGGACCCTGGTTTGCAAGCCTAGTTCTGTGTTGTGGGAAGGATGTGGACTTTGGGACTGTACAGTTGTGGGTTCAAGTCCCAGCTCTCCTACCTTTTTACTAGTTGGGAGAATTTAGGCAACTTATGTAATCTTTTTGTGGTTCAGGTACAGCATGTGTAAAATGATACACCTTCCAGGAGGCTGTGAGGCCACTGAGCATAATGTGTGAAAGCCCCTGGTTAACTATGAACTGTAATGAGAAATCATTAACACTCTTGAGATCCCTCTGAAGGTTCTAGGAGAGAACTGAGAAGGGCTGATCTTTCACCTCTGGATGATCTTGAGGCTCTGAGTAAGCAGGAAATGAAGGTAAATTGCTACTATTGGCAAATTGCTGGAGAACTGAATGCAGGCCCCAATACACAGAGCAAAGAGCCTTGGCAAAGACTGGGAGGCTGATTGGTTCCAGGCATTTAGGGGAATCTCCATCCAGACATTAGGAGGCCAGTGAGCTAACTGAAGGGCTGGGGATGTAGCTCAGTGGTACAGTGCCTGCCTGTCTTGCATGCACAAGGCCCTGGGTACATCCTCAGTATTGTAGTAAACAGACAAATGAGCTGACTCAACAGAGGCTTTGATGACCACACACAACAGACTACAGACTTGACAGAATTCAGGAAAGGCTCTTGAAAAAGAAAGAAACTGTAACAATTAACCATACTGAAACAAACCCTGGAGAGAGGGGAGAAGCTGATTTCCAGTTGTGACATGTTATTTAAAAAGACAATTTTTAACAACAAAAAAATTATGAGACATGCAAAGAAACAAAGAGTGTTCAAACCAAAAATGTTGATCTTAAGGAAGAGAGTGGAACCGTGATTTCTAGAAGTTGGGAAAAATAGGGGCAGAGAAGATGAAAGAAGTTCAGAAAACAGGTGCTAAAATACAGTTAAATAGGAGGGATACGTTTTTATAGTTCCATAGCATAGTAGGTGACTAGTTTATAACAACTTATTATATATTTTATGAAGGATTAGAAGATAGGAGTTTAAAGGCTCCAAACACAAAGATAAGAAGATGGCAATGCTAATTATTCTAATTTGATTATCATACATTATATACATGCATTGAATATTGTCACTCTGGAGCCCACCAGTATGTACCATTATTATGTGTCAATTAAAAAGAAA